ATATACTTGAATATTATTATATAAGTACTGTGTTGATTATATATATATATATATATATATATATATATATATATATATATATATATATATATATATATACACTAGCATTTTGTACGCGTGATGTGCGAAAATTCATGCCCAATATTAAAACATTTATCATATACACTAGCATTTTGTACGCGTGATGTGCGAAAATTCATGCCCAATATTAAAACATTGATAAATACAAATAATTAAAAATTATAATTTGAATTATATATAAACAAATAATATATGTATTTTGTACACACACATATATAATTTATCATTCATAGAAATTTAATTAAAATATAATTAAGTATTAAATTAATATATAATGATTTTAATAAAATGATAATTAAAAAATAGGAAAGAGATATGATAGATATAGGTGTATGGTAATAATGATGTGTTATCAATGTTAGAATTAAAAACTAACGGTGTAAGGATAATTTTGTCTAATAACATTGGAATGTACAACATTTAAAGTAAAATGTACACATTTATTTGCATACAAAAGAGGGACATAAATCAAGGATATAACCTTAATTGAGGCTTATTATGTTTTTAGATATACTATGAGATGTAAAGATGATGTAAGGTTGTGTAATGGTGAGTTCCAGTTCCATTTGATGAGAATGTATCCGATAGATAATATCGTGGATACCTATTATATGTGAGGTAGCTTAGTTGAAAACATCCTGAACTACCAAGACTAGTTGCTACTCTTTGGGCCTGAGAAGCCCACTGAAGGTTTTAGTCCTTTATTCCACGAAAGGGACAAACTTGTGGGGTGTTCGGCAGAGTGAATTACTGTTCACCGGGCTTAGTTAACATTATATATATATATATATATATATATATATATATATATATATATATATATATATATATATAGGAGAGATCCCATGCGGCTATAGCAGTAGGTGCGACAGTGCAGTCATATAAGGGCCATTGGATTAAAGCAGATCAACGGACCATAATGATTCGTCATTTGCGCGCTTAGCTTCGACATAACCGCGACGGAGGGGGCAAAATTGTCCAATAATACTAATTCAAAACTAAAACTTTCCTCCTTCTACAAGCTACACCGGTCCATTCGCGTATTCACAATCCCAAAGCACGAGAACAGTTTCACTACTCCCAATGACTAACACGACGATCGACTTCATCGACGATCACCTCGGCACAAAAACAAGAAACTACTGTCAAACACACCACCACGTTGCGATAGAAGCTCAAACCCTACACCACAAACCAGTTCGACTACGACACCCCAAAATATGGTGAACAAGGGCAAACAACTAGTGACGAAGGGCAAACAACCAACACCGAAGGGTATGAACTCAAACTCTAGACACAAAAACCAACTTCAACATGACAGTATTTGATATTTCCTTTATCATTCGTGTATTTTGTATTATGTAAAAGGAATAGAGCAAATAACATTGTTGTGTGTTTTATTTCGATGATCGGTGTGTGTCTTAACATAATATTAGTGTGCTTTTGGTGCCATTCTGACTACGACATCTCATATTGTGTTGTCTGGGGATTATCAGCGTGAATGTAGTGTATATTTCGGTTAGTATTGGTGTATTCTGGACTATGTAACTTGAATAGAGAAAATAACACTATTGTGTGTTTTATTTGGGTGATCGGTGTATCTTAACCTAATATTGGTGTGTTTTTAGTACATTTCAGACTATGACATCTCATATTGTGTTGTTTTGGGCATTATCAGCGTGACTGTAGTGTATATTTAATTTAGTATTCGTGTATTCTGTACTATGTAACTTGAATATGGCAAATAACATTGTCGTGTGTTTTATTTGGGTTATGAGTGCATTTTTACCCTACATTAGGGTATCTTTTAACACTGAAGCTATAGCATGTTTAGATTAATATCACTGATTTCATGCAGACAAGAAGAGAAAGGCATTAGAACAAGGAGAATCATCAAAGCCAAAACATCAACGGAAGCAACTAGCACTGGCATTCCGTGACAGAATAGAAACAGCAATACAAGAGCAAGTTGTTGAGAACAGCTCTGATGATGAAGTTCAAGATGAAGAAACAGACCTAAAGATAAGGCCCCTGCCCAGACAGCTAACGAAACCAGTTGAAGCGCTGATCCGTCAACAACGCCGAAGCGTAGAAGATATTGGGCTAGGAAAGATACTTGATCTCAAAATCACCAACCTGCCAAGGAAGTTGGGGATGTGGCTAGTTGAAAACTATGACTCTAGGAGCAACACATTGAATCTACCAACTGGCGAAAAGCTCCAAATCACAGAAGAGGATGTTGCTGCCACTTTGGGACTGCCGCTTGGAGACATAGAAATCACTAAGAGTGCATCCAAACAAGTATCTGATCTCCTGACAGACTGGAGAAAAATCTTTGGGAAGCATAATGGCCACATCACCCCCCACGTCATGGCTGAAAAGATGCTAACATTAAAAGCTGGTGACCCTTGGTTCAAAAGGCATTTTGCACTGCTTGTTATGAGTGTGTTGGTTGAGCCACAAGTCAATGGTTATGTCAACCAAAACTACATCGACAACCTTCTTAACGTACGCAACATCAAGAGACTAAATTGGTGTAGAATGCTCATCCACTCACTCATCACCAGCAAGCAGGCATGGCTGGAAAGCACCAATGGAAGATATGGAGGCCCAATTTTTTCCTAATGGTAAATAAGCCCCCAAACATGCTTGTAATTAATTACTCATCAATCTATTAATAATCTAAACTACCAAATACAGGTATTCTATGTTGACCGTGTTGTGCTCTACTGGAGGACTATCCCAAGAAGCTTCCTGCCATGAAGAATTGGACGTTTAAGTTGCTCCGTCAACGACAACAAGATGAGCTCAAATCTGGAGGCGTTGGATATAGCGGGTTGATGATGCCTTGCCAGTGGAGAGCACACCACGCAGTGAACGGAACCCCAGCATAGGACAATTTGATGTACCACCCCAACCACCAGCATATGAAGAAAACGCGCCACTTCCCCATAGATTACAAGTAAACAGAACACTGTAGACAGATTCATGGGGTAATTTTGTGTATGTAATCTGGTGATTTTATTTATAATCTGTTGTGGATTTTAAAAAGGTATTGATCTGAGCAATGTTTTTTTTGTTATTGGTGTACTTAGTGCATATTTAGTGCACTAAGTACTTCAGTATTTAGTGCACTAAATACTGTCTAGCAGTATTTAGTGCATACTTCAGTATATATTAGTGTGTTTATACTACAATGCTTCATTGGGTGAGGGACTCTATTGAGTGTTATTTTTATTTTTATTTTTATTTATTTATTTTTTTTTTGCTGGTGCTTTACTTATCGTTGATTGAGCATAACTTTCTGGTGCATATACAGGAGTTTATTGATGAAGTTACCAACAAGGCAGCAACACAAGGACAATTGCACGAAGTTTACTGAGAATTTCAAGGCTGATTGAAAATGCACCTGCAGCTGTATTGGAGCATGATACATTCAAGCAGATGTTTGAATCTGTTAGACAGATGCTTGGATTCAAAGCGCAAGAAGATGGACAACTGGTATTTACCCAACAAGAAGATGCATATTGGAGTGACCCTGAGTTCTTGAAAGCGGTGGATGAAATTGTCCGTGCAGTAAACAAGAGGACTTTTCTAAATCATATGACAACTTTCAGCTTGGGATTGTCACAAGAGGGACCAAATAAAGACTGGACAAATGTGAATGATATTGCACGAGACTACCAAGACATTGATGAAGCTTCGGAAAAGGAAGAAGTCCAATTGGATGGGCTGGAGGGTCAAGCAACAGAGAAAGCTCAAGAAGACAGAGAGAAAGATCAACCAGAACCTCAATCAGCTCGGGAAAATGAAAAAGTTCAATTGGATGGGCAAGAGGGTCAAGAAGGCACATAGAACATAAACCAGAACCACAATCAAGAAGGTGGGCAAGAAGATGATCCTGGAAACACAAATGATGAGGTAAAGCATTGTATTAACTTGACAACACAGAAAAAGGAAATAAAAATAAAAATAAAAATCAGACACTAAACTTTGAATGTTACAGATCACACCAGTAGGCCACGGCCAGGAGGCCTCTGGTTCAAATCTACCACACCCACCCCAACCAGCAGACAGGGGGAAAGGACCAGCTAGGGTAAACAGACCAATTAGACCAAGACCCTGCTCATACAAACTTGATCTGGACCCACCAATATCCACATGTTTGGTGCGGGCATAGAAGATGGGATTAGCACACATATATGTAGCTCCAAGATTATAACACCATAATTTGAGAACTGCGATCCCTGTAACACGGATTTCACGCAGAAGAGACATGATCCAAATCACTTCAGCACAAACATCTGCTAGAGCTTTATATTCAGCCTCAGTAGAAGATCTAGCAACAGTTCTTTGTTTCTTGCAGACCCATGATTAGGGGTGTTCAAACGGTTAACCGAACCGAATTAACCGAAGTTTTTTTTGCTTTAACCGTTAACCGAACCGAAGTTTGCTCTACCGAATTAACCGAACCGAACTTTTTTTCGGTTAATCGGTCGGTTAACCGATTAACCGAACTTTTTTAACCTAAAATTGAAAATCCTACAAATAACTCCTAAAATAATAAATCCAATTAAAATAAAATGCATATCATAATAAATTCATATCAAAACATACAAAAACAATAGCATAAGTCCATTATCCATAGTCCATACTCCATAGTCCAAACCATAAATTAATGTGATCATAAACATAACAACATTACAACAACACACAAAAATGAAATCAAAGTTCATCCCATGATTTCAAATTTTCCATCACTCCATCCTGATTCTTGATGTCCACGATGTTTAGTGCATCACTCCTACATATTAAAAAGTGTAACTGTGTAAGTATAAATAATAATTAACCACTTAACCAAATAATAAATAAAACTAACAAATACAACTGTTTTCAAATATTAATTTTTACCTTAGAAATCCAAGAACAAACACCTTACTCACAATTCACAAGGTAGGTTCCAATGCATTCCATGAAGAATCTAAAAGATAAAAGACAAAAAAATAATATATTAAAATTTTCATTTGTGTGATTAAAGTAAACTTATAAACAAAAGGAATAAAATTTACATACCATTTTTAACACTTTCAAAGTCATTTAATTCTTGAAGCTCTTCAAAAACATCCAATGAAGGTGTTGAATTTTTTATCCAATCTTGATAGCACACAAGAGCTTGAGCCATTCTAGGAGTTAAAGGACTCCTAAAGGAATCAAGAACACGTCCTCCGGTACTAAAGGTAGACTCAGAAGCAACAGTGGATATTGGAATAGCTAGCACATCTCAAGCCAACAATGACAAATAAGGAAATCTAGGGCTATTAACTTTCCGCCACAACAAAATATTAAAATCATCCGTCACTGGCTCCATAGCTTCACTGAGATACTTATCCAATTCCGACATTTGATCCCCACCACTACCTGATTGAAGTTTGTGCTTTACAAACTTCTCTTGCATACGCTTTTTCATCCTAGCTTGACATTCTCCTATATTTGAACTTGATGTTGGAGTGGAGCTAGATGACACAATGCTACTTGAAGGCTTATAAGCATTAAACAATTCATACACTGCATCTTTAACCTTGGTTGCCATATCCGTACCTTTTGTACCCTCAAACATATCTTTCAAAGCAAATTCAACAAAGCAAAACTTGTGTCTAGGATCAAGAATAATGGCAACAAAAATTAGCATATTCAACTTGTCAATGCTCCCCCAATATTTGTGAAATTTATCTTTCATCTTCATTGCCATCAAACTAAATTCATTCTCATCCGAAGCTTTGCACTCTCTCAAAAGACAATCAATTTCACAAATCTCATCAAACAAACAATTTGAAGTAACATAAGAAGTCCCGGAAACTCTATTTGTAAGCTCATAAAAGTGCTCCAAGAATTTTACCAACTCCCTAACAACTTTCCAATCACTTTCAATAGGAATACCATCCCCCGATTCAAGATCATCTTTAACATTCTCATCTTGTAAATCAAACATATAGAAAGCATTTTCAAATTTTTGAGCACAATTTAGCATCAAATATGTTGAATTCCAACGAGTACTAACATCAAGGCACAACAAACTTTTGCTTTCTATATTTTGACTTTCAACATATTGTTTAAACCTTTGCAATCTAGATGGAGATTGCCTTACATATCTCACTGCGCCTCTAACACAAGCAACCGACTTATTCAAAAGTTTCAAACCTTCATTCACAATCAAATTCACTATATGTGCAACACACCTCATATGCATATATTTCCCATTCAAAATATTTCCATGTTTACTCCCAAACTTTTTTTGCAAATAACCAATAGCAACATCATTTGCACTTGCATTATCAACCGTAATAGTGAACAACTTATCAACCCCCCAAGAAAGCAAGCATTTTTCAATCAATTTTTCAATAGCATCACCTTTATGACTTGAAATTTGACAAAAATTTATTACTTTCTTATGCAAATTCCACTTATCATCAATAAAGTGAGCCGTGAGACACATGTAATTAATTCTTTGCAAAGATGTCCATGTATCCGTAGTTAAACAAACTCTATTACATGAGTTCCTCAACAATTGTCTCACTTTGATCCTCTCATCTAAATAAAGTTGATAAATGTCTCTTGTGATTGTAGTTCTTGAAGGAATGTGAAACCTAGGACATGCAACTTCAACAAATTCCTTCAAACCTTCACTCTCCACAAACCTAAAGGGTATTCACACTTCACAATCATATTTGCTAGGGCTTTTCTAATTGCTTCTTGATCAAATTTCCAAGATGAAATAGCCCCTTCCCCTTCATTACCCTTATTTTGCAAAACAATTTGAGATTGTGACTTATTCAAAAGTTTCAAACCTTCATTCACAATCAAATTCACTATATGTGCAACACACCTCATATTCATATAACCAATAGCAACATCATTTGCACTTGCATTATCAACCGTAATAGTGAACAACTTATCAACCCCCCCCCCCCCCAAGAAAGCAAGCATTTTTCAATCAATTTTCCAATACCCATCACCTTTATGACTTGAAATTTGACAAAAATTTATTACTTTCTTATGCAAATTCCACTTATCATCAATAAAGTGAGCCGTGAGACACATGTAATTAATTCTTTGCAAAGATGTCCATGTATCCGTAGTTAAACAAACTCTATTACATGAGTTCCTCAACAATTGTCTCACTTTGATCCTCTCATCTAAATAAAGTTGATAAATGTCTCTTGTGATTGTAGTTCTTGAAGGAATGTAAAACCTAGGACATGCAACTTCAACAAATTCCTTCAAACCTTCACTCTCCACAAACCTAAAGGGTAGTTCACACTTCACAATCATATTTGCTAGGGCTTTTCTAATTGCTTTTTGATCAAATTCCAAGATGAAATAGCTCCTTCCCCTTCATTACCCTTATTTTGCAAAACAATTTGAGATTGTGACTCATCAACATTATCGGGATTTTGATTACATGCATTCATGTGATATTTTAATTATGCAGTTCCATTTTTCTTTGGATCACAGGCATATTCTTTCCCACAATGAATACATTTGCATGATGTAACTCCGGAAGACGAAGTAATTTTTTCAAAGTGAGACCAAACTTCTGACCTTGGTTTTATTGTTTTTCTCTTTTTTGAAACTTGACTTGCATCTATGGTCCCACTTGTTGAAATAGCAATTTCATCAGATGACGGAGTCGTAAAAGAAGGAGAAATATCTTCCATTGACATCTACAAAAAGCATTCAAAGATCAATTAAAAATCAAACATATTACATACATAGAAATATACAATGGAACAATTAAACACAGACATACACTACAACAAACATATGCAGCTCCTTTATCTATTTTTTTTTTTTAGAAGTATAGAATCACAATATACACTGGAACAAACCTGCTCCTCTAGTCTCTAGACGCACTATGTACACATGTTTTTCCATATTAAATGACTAGGTCTAGCTAGTTTTATCATTATGAGTACATGAAATGATGAATAGGCTCAACTTATTAAGGATGAGTATATGTGCTCTGAACATACAAACAGAGTAGCAGAACTGGCAGTCAAACAAAGTAACATAATATCTGAACATACAAACTCAAACATACACTGGAAAGTGAAAGTTTAAAAAATAAAATTTTATTATTAGCAACAAAAAAAATATTTCACACAACAAAACTTGTTAACAATCAAGTATTAAACTATTAATAGTCTAGAAAATATGTATTTAAAATAAAAAATAAAAAACATACCTTCAGGCTTCAGGGCGACAAAGCAGACGAAGTAGTGGCCTGGACTCCTGGAGCAAACGAAGGACTCTGGTCTCTGGCGACTGGCCGCCGGTGGATGAGCAGACGGAGGACTCTGGCAATGGGTGAAGATGAAGAAGAGCGCTGACGAACTGCGGAAGTGGTTGACGCCTAATGGTGGACCACTGGACCTGGTGGTGGTTGGCCGCCGGACGTCGGTGGAGAGCTGATCTGCTGACCAAGTGACCAGATGACGGGAGAAGGAGTGAGTGACGAACTGACGAACAGCGGAAGTGTGGTCTGTGGTTGAGAGAGAGGGAGTTAGGGTTACTGCGTATTGTACTACTGTCTAATTGAATATTGAGAGGCTGGGAGTTAGTCTAAGTTAGTTTACTTAGGGTATTAGTATTAGTTTATTAATTATTAATTATTACATAATTACTATTTAAGTATTTATATATATATATATATATATATATATATATATATATATATATATATTAAAAACTTCGGTTAACCGACACTTTCGAACCGAATTAACCGTTAACCGAAGTTTTGAAATTCCTTTAACAATTAACCGAACCGAAAAAGTTCGGTTAAAAAACGGTTAACCGAACTTCGTCGGTTCGGTCGGTTAACCGAACTTTCACCGAAGTTTGCCCACCCCTACCCATGATACTCGATTAGACCCAAGAAAAAACAGCAAAGCCACTTGTGGATTTTCTATCCTCCGGACAGCCGGCCCAGTCAGAATCAAAGAAGGCATGAATTTCCCTTGAGGATGACTTCCTGACTCGTAGTCCAAAATTAACAGTACCTTTGACATACCGTAATACTCTTTTAGTTGTTCCCAGTGAGTAGCCGTAGGTGCATGCATGTGTTAACATAACTGATTGACTACAAATGATATATAAGGACGAGTGATGGTTAAATACTGTAATGCACCCGCTAAACTCCTGTATTGTGTACGATCATCATGTGGAGTTGCGTCAATGAGGATGAATTTTGACGTGGGAATTGTGGTGGATAAGGACTTGCAATCTGTCATTCCAGCACGTTTTAGAATATCCTACATGTATCTCTGTTGGCAAAGTAAAATCCCATCATTGTATTTAATTACCTCAATTCCAAGAAAAAAACCTGGATCACCAATATCCCTGATTTTAAATGCAGTAGAGAGTTTTGAAACTAGTTGAAGAACTAGATTTGTATCGCTTCCCATCATAAGAATGCCATCCACATAAACAAGTAGATATACACAATCATATCCCTGTGAGTAATAAAAAAGAGACACATATGTTTTGGATGCCTGAAACCCAATAGATATTAAAAAGGTATGCAAACGATTAAACCAAGCTCGGGGAGCATGCTTTAATCCATAAAGAGACCTTTTTAGTAGACATACATGATTTGGATAAGAAGCATCAATATATCCAGGCGGTTACTTCATATACACAGTTTCAGAGAGATGACCGTTCAATAAAGCATTATGAACATCTAATTGCTTAATAGTCCACCCAGAATATAAAGCAATAGAAAGAAGCAACCTGACTGTGGTTGGTTTAACTACTGGGCTAAAAGTATCAAAGAAGTCCTGACCTGGCACTTGATTAAACCCTTTTGCTACAACTTTTGCCTTATGCCTTTCAATGGAACCATCAGCTTTTCGTTTAGTACGAAAAATCCATTTACACCTAATGATGTTCATGTTTGACTGAGATGGCACAAGTTGCCAAGTCTGATTTTGTAGTAGGGCATTAAATTCCTGATCCATAGCCTCTCGTCATTCTGAATGTTTAACAGCCTGTGTGTAACAAGTGGGATCCGAAGGACAAACCTGAACCGTTAAAATAGAAGGTGGAGCCCGAGACCGACTCCGAGTGTGCATCTCATGGGCCCGAACCGTGGACTTGATCATTTCCCCACGAGGATGCCCACGTGGGCGTTTGATGGGCTAGACGGCCTCAACAGGCAGCTCACGGTTCGGCGAGGCAGATGGTTCGGCGGCAGCAGTGGGCAGTGGTGGAGAGGAGTTCGAATCACTGTCGGCGGTGCTGGGTTGGACGGCCACAGGACCAATCGGCGGCGAAATTACAGTGGGATGAAGAACTGACTCAGCCCACGAACAGAATTTCTCAGGTGGAGATGGCTGCACAGTATTTTTAGTAGCAAAAGGATAAAATATTTCATCAAACCTTACATGCATGCACACATAAATCTTGTTAGTATGTAAGTCCATGCATCTATACCCCCGAAACGACTCAGGATAACCTAGGAAAACACATGGAGTGGACCAAAATGAGAATTTATGACGATTATATGGTCTGAGATATGGGTAACACAAACACCCAAAGACACGAAGAAAAGAATATGAGGGATTGGAATTATGCACTTTAAAGTGTGGACTGAGATTATTTAATACAACAGAAGGCATTTTGTTAATTAAATAAACTACAGTTTCAAATGCAAAATCCCAGAATTTATATGGGACAGAGGCATGGGCTAGAAGAGCCAGACCTGTTTAAACAATGTGTCTGTGTTTTCGTTCGACACGATCATTTTGTTCATGAGTGTAGGTACATGATTGTCTATGAAGGATACCTGACTGAGTAAAAGAATGATGCAATTTTTCAGTCAGGTATCCTTCAACCATAGTACGAAATTTATCAAAGATGGCATACAGATCATATTTTAATTTCATGGGAAAATACCAAGTGTAACGAGTATAATCATCCACAAAAATAACAAAATAACGATAGCCATCAATTGACAAAAGGGGAGCTGGACCCCAAATATCTGTGTATATCAAATCAAGGACACTAGAACTGGATATCTCAACATGTGCCAATGGGAATTGAGAGGATTTACCCATTTGACATGCATTACAAAAATTAGAATTACATCGAATAGAATTATTTGACCCACTAACCGGACACGACTGAAGAATACGAAGTAAAGCACGATGATGTGGATGTCCTAAACGATCATGCCACACTGACGGAGAGGTGCGAGCTGTAAGAAAAACTGGGGGAGATGGCGTTGTAATTGGGAGTTTGTAGAGACCCCCATGACTATTGCCTTTAAGTAGAATTTCCTTGGCGTTGATATCCTTCACAACAAAAACAGACGGGTGAAACTCAAAAAACACTTTATTATCTATCGCAAATTTCTGAACAGATAATAAACAAGTAGAGACACTAGGAACATGAAGGATATTAGACAATTGGAAGGAACGAGATGGGGTATTAAAAGAAGCATGACCGACACGACTAATAGAGAGCGCCTTACCATTACCCACACGCAATGTGTCATTACCCGTGTATTCCTTGAATGTAGATAGGGCTGCAATATCCGGAGTGACATGATTTGTGGCCCCTGTATCAAGAATCCATGTCTGTGAGTCATTAGGATGCGACTCGGTATTTTGATACATCAAATTTGCTTGTGGAGGAGGATCATAGCGATTGTAGCATTTGATAACCGAGTGTCCTGTACGACCACATAGTTGACAAACAATTGCCGAACCACCACTGTCGCCACGCCTACGGTGGCCGCCACCTCTTCCAGAATGCGTTCGGCCACCGCTTCCTCCACGATGTGCACCGAAATTCTGCCCTCGGCCACCTTGGTTACCGCCGCGTCCTCCGCGGCGATGGTTACCGCCGCCATGCTGTGCGACGAGCGCCACCGGTGCAGCGCCTCGAATAAACTCCTGGGTACCAAGAAAATTGGCCAACTCACCTAGGGTTACAGTACCACGAACCGAGAGAGATGCGGTGAGATTTTGGAATTCTGGCCGCAAATCACGAAACACATAGAGATTCATCTCGTCAAGCCCAACCGGTCTACCGGCCAAAGCAAGATCCTCCAAAATAACATGGGCATGACCAATATAATCAGCAACCGTGGAATCTCCCTAGCTTAGGGACTGTAGTTAGCCAAGGGATTTAATGAGTGGGCGCGAGATGCGGAAGCCAAAGACTGTTCAATTGACTCCCAAACCTCCCGTGATGTACGACGACCAACGGCGAGGTGCATAACTTCTTCTTTGAGAGAAGAAATCAACATGGACATAAGAGCCCGATCATGACGAAACCATGTTGCGTAATCGGGATTGGGTGCCGGCGAGCCACCTTCGACGACGGGAAGATACGGTGGCGGACTGGGGTTGGTTCCATCGACGAACGACATGAGACCATGTCCATCAAGAAATGGAACGACATGAGTTCTTCAAAACAGATAATTTTTGTGGGTAAGCTTAATACTGATAAAGTGATGAGCAGTAGAAAGCGAAGACACGGCAGCGCTAGTGGAAGACGTAGTAGAGGCGTTGGAGATGGTTCGGATGATTGAACAAATTCGGTAGCTATTGAGCTAGAGAAAATAGAGAAAACCCTAGCTTAACTGATACCATATGAGAACTGTATGAATTGTATTAAATGAACTTTTACAACTGTACAGACACGGGGAATATATATACAATAGGAATCATAGGAAGACTATAATAGGGAGTCATACTATGACTCAAATACAAGAATCCTAATACTAGTCCTAATATTTTGATAAGTGTTGACTTAAAGCTTTCTAAAAACTCTTTTGAAAATATCCCTTCTAAGTACTTGTCTAAAAGTTTTCTAAATTGTGATCTATCCGAGTTTCAAAATCTATTTGCGAAATATAAACTATTTGCAAATTAAAAATGTACATATTTGACCGGGCAGAGTAAACCTTAGTTATATTTTTATGCTAATTCATTTGTTTTGTGTCTTTTCATCCTTATTGTTTTCAAGCTAGACTGGAGTTGGCTAGTTTGGGAGCGCGTTGTAGAGACATAATACCTTGTAGATGGTAATGGATTGGAACTAGTGCTGTGTAGTAATGTTATATCATTGTGAATGAGATTAGATGGATTGTATAATGTTGTGGATTTATAGATAGTTAGAAAGAACCTTGGTGCTTTCAAAAAAACAGAAAAAAAAAAAAAGATAGAACCTTGTTAGTCGGAGCCCAAGCGTGGCGGTAGCACCTCGTGTGTTTCAAGAAAAAAATTGTAATCCCGTGATTTGAGCTCAGTGGAGGCGTTGTTGACTCTGTATGCTTCATTAGGTTGAGAAAGTATATTTGAACAGATACTAATTAAAAAAAAATGTTGTTGCTCTTAAATAGCATAAAATTTATGCATTATTAAAAAAAAAAAAAAAAAAAGTGGACACACAGAAGTGTTGAACTTGTGTTTACCGCCACGAGAGATTGGAAAGAGGCTATCTCAAGAAAATCTTGGAACTGAAGGAGGAAATCCAGAGGGGGGAAAACATGGCCGTCCTTTCTCCATTACTATCCTCTTCTTCACTCCAATATACCTTCCCTTCTCTTTCATCTCTTTCCCCCAAGCCCACCCTCACCCTCGCCCCCTATCGCTACCGCTCTCGCGTTATCCTCTCTCAGGTCTCCCACCACCACCAACCGCCGCCGCCGCCCGTTGTAATCGACAGGTCTTTGCTCAATGTCTCAGAAGCCAAATCCGAGAGTGAGCTATGGGCTGCTGCTTCACTTCGCGTACAGACTTTCTATGTCACCCACAATGACTCTATCAACATCGAGGTGACTCTTCAAGTCTATCGACTTCCTCACGCCTCCAATTTCTGCTACTTGATTAGGATTAGGTTTTCCTTGCTCAATTTAATTTGAAAGTAATGTAATTTAGTTAAAATGTATATTTGGGAGAGAACTTGTTAAAAGGGGCGTAAAAATGGAGATATATTGAAGCATTGGCATGAGATGGATATGTTATGTTTTACCACAAATTGATTTGACATTTTTTCAACTTAGCTATAGTAGATATTGTGGTTTGGAAAATGGAGGTCTGCTCTGCAGTGGTTGAGGGGAAGCATATTGGCATATTTTGGCTCTCAATTCATTGACATTTGAGCTTATATTATCATGCTCTTTATGAGATTCTCATGTGATGCTGATGTTTGTTTCTCCTTTTCAAGTGATATTAGGAACATAAAAAGTACTTGGCTGAACGTGAATTCGAAGCATTGAAGGAACGCATTGCAGGGAAAAGGTTGGGTTTTGGAAGAGTTTCCTGCATCAATGCCACTGTACCTTTATCTCAAGTGTCAAGTGTTTCGCATGATTTATGTACATCATACAAAGTAAGCACCTTTTTGTTATTGATTGAACTAGCACTTTCACTTTTCTAATTGTATTTCAGCATCTTATTCTTGTGGCCAAAAGGGAGATTTCCAGTAAGGAATAACTGAAGAAGAGCTCAAATCACGGTTGAATAACACCACTTTCTCCTTGGACATATGTAGGATTTAGTGGTCAAGGGTGGTGAATTACCAACAGTGCAGTATTGCAAAAATCACAAGTACAAAATAGCTATAACTTTGCATTACAAAATAATCCTTCTCCACATACTTTAGTGCCTGTAACATTTACTAGTAATGTTCACACATTCGATTTTCTTCAACTAAAATTAATGCCACAAAACACAATTATTTCCCTGGATTTACTGGGAGAAGGCTATTGTTATGCAGTACTTTTTGGATATATAATTGGCTTATGGTTTTGTGAAGTACTCCTTTCCACAGATCTCTGTGTTCTTTAACCAATGCATATTCCTCAGCTCCCTTACATCAAGTACATCTCAGTTCATATTTTCAAGCCACTCTTGAAGTGTGTATCCACCATACATGTGAATAGTATCTGGCCCCAACTCCAAAGGCTGAAAAGTAAAGAGCTGCAACATACTCCGTATGTGACTGCCTGCACATACCAATGAATGCGTTTTTCATTTAAAAAATCCATAGTGTTAAATTTGACCAAAGCTTACTCTGGTAGACATTGTTAATAAAAACATGTTACATGTCATATGGCCATATAATAGAGACTGATTAGTTTGGGATTACTGGCTTACTGCTTAGTTGAGTTGAGTTGAGTTTCACACTTATTTCCAATCTCCTATTTTACAACTGAGCATTTTAACTTCTTATTTAAGACATGTTTCTGACTTTTTTTTTTCCCCCTTACAGTGTCCAGATAATATGGAAAATAGAGTAGTGATTGGGTCTCTAGATCTTAACCAGTGCATCAGCCTTCCAGATGAAATAATAGGAACGAAACCTAAGGTAGCACTTTATTTTATTATTACTTTTATTTATTTATCCTTTTGCATGGATTTTCTTCTCTTGATAGACGATAGTTATACTAAAAATTTTGAAGCTTTAGATTAATGGACTGGGTGTTGTGTATTACAAGAATCAAAAGTTCTCTCAAAGTAAATTTTTAAGAAATGGAATGTCTGAAATCTTTATTTTGTTTGTAGTTTCTTGTGAGTGCAGGGCTTAAACAAATAAGTTTGGATGAGGATGTTTTCTGTATATAGTATCGGTAATTTATTATGCTGTAGATTTCTTTGTTTGATGCGTGGTTGCATTGCTAAAATCAAATCCACAAATAGATCAGATGGTAAATATATTGAATAAAATTAATGTTAGATAGTAGTAATTGTGCACGAATACAAAATGTGTTATGTAGTTGGCAATGTTGTCATAGATTATTTTGCTCATAGCAACTCTTAAACCTTTTTTGTAACACGAATGCCTCCAACTTGGCAATCACGTAAGTTTTACTTCTCAACAGGGAATTGGAGCTGATTTTGCAAGAGCATACCTTAGTAATGTATGTGTTGCTAAAGAACTGCGTAGAAATGGGTTGGGTTATGCACTCATTGCGCAGGCAAGGATGGTTGCTGAAGAGTGGGGTATTTGCTTTCTGATATATGCTTGTTCTGACATCTTACATGTGTCTCATCCTTAGTTACTGTCAAGAGTTAATTTCACTATTGGCCCCTTGAGTATAGTGGTATGATAAGGAATGCCACTATACTCGAGGTACTAAACGTGTAAGCATTCCCTCCTTCTTTAACCCTCCCTGTATATCTGTTCCAACTGACAGAGTGACAGGTCGTGTTATTTCTGAAACACAAGTAAATTTTTACTCTGAAAACAACGCTTTTCCTGAACCTTCCATTTCAAGCAAGTTCAATTTTATGTCTACTAAGTTGCTGTGCTTTCTTTCTGTATTTTCTTCAAGGTCGGGGATCCCTGTTTTCCCTTGTTTTGTTCTTCTTCTCTTCCAAGCGTGTGCAATTTGTGGATTCCTTAAACGTGTTCCCTGATCTGTTTTACAATGAATGTGTAGAGTTGTTGACTCAGTGGTCTTGTGATTTCAGGAATGAGTGATTTGTATGTCCATGTTGCCATCGACAATGAGCCTGCACTTAACCTCTACAAGAAATGTGGTTTCGTTTACGAGAGCGAGGAACCTGCGTGGCAAGCCAGGTTCTTAGATCGGCCCCGGAGGCTTCTTTTGTGGATGGGCCTCCCTGTTTCCTATGACTTGTAAGTACAATGTACAGACATCCAATTGTTTTCCTTCCTGGCCTCCCCAATGGCCCTCACTCCCAACACGACCATAATGAAATTCAGATGGAAAAAGGTGGAAAAGCAAATGTAGCATTTATTCTTGTACTTGAGTAAAGAACTCAAGTGTGTTATAGATATATATGCAAATTTGCAACCACTACCAACTTGATAATAATGATTCATTCATGAATCTCGAGATTTTTAGTTGTGTCGTCTGGTCGTTCTCACTACTTGTTGTCTTCAATAATGCATTACCAGATCGGAGCTTGCTAAAAATCTCTTTTTCATTAGTCTATGTTACGGTCTCACATTAGCTTAGCTTCACAAGAGGGTATAATTCTCCCGAGCTACGTTATTTTTGAAATGGACAGAGTACATGGTAGCTAAGCTAGGTCAAGATTGAACTGTTTGTACTTAAATTTGTAGGGAATTGAAGGACTATCATTATTGTCCATTTCAGAAAAGCAGTGAAATAAGTAGGGTTTTAGGGTTTCCCCCACAATCCACATACAGATTCATCTTCAATTCTAGGGATGATATCTAATTATCTATCATGTCATTGGAACAGATTAGCTATCTCATCTCATGATTTAAGAAAGATATTGATGTCTGATTGTTTGAAGCATCTGGCGTGCATGCATGTCTTATGTCTAATGTCTTCTAATCTTCTTTCGTACGTACGTGTGCAGTGTGTTCCACAAGTAAATGCATCCAATGTATACACCTAATCATAACCAACTATTCCTATTCCTACCTTATTCCATGCTACGGAGATCACGTCCCGGATTAATTGCAATCTACACTTGTTTGAAAAGGCAAAATTCTCCCTTAAAAAAAAAAATAAAGGCAAAATTCTTAGCTCCAATATCCCTTACATCCCAACCCAACAAGATGGTAGAGGGTAGCGGTCTCTTAGGTGGGAGGGTCAGTTCTTGGTGTCCACATTCAATGTAAAACACACACTGCGGCTGCCAAATTTGAATTTTGTATTTTTACCCACAATTTTCCATCTGTGTGCTAACTGAGTTGCCTATATATATAGGCACAATCCACACTACTAATACATGATGCATGAATATTTTATACCCAAAAAAAAAAAAGTTCTCTTTTATGGTTTAAAAAATAATTAAGCTAATAAACCTATCAGTTTGAAATCGTTGGTAAATAGATTGTTAATATTACTGAAACATTGGAAGTTCGACTCTTGTAAAGGGATTGCCTAATTCATAAATTTATGAATGTTTGGTTTTTAGTTCTTTAATTGATTTAGAGGTTATTATTGTATTTTGTTATGGTTGGTGCGTTTATTGGTAATATAGATTGCAATATTTGTATTAATATACTCACTTTTTTTTAAAGCAAAATAGAAAAAAAGGAAAAAAAGTTAGATCTATAAAAATTTTGAAGTTGAACAGAATTTGTGCATGTCTATATAAAATCTAATTTACAATAAATCTACCTACTTTTTTTTTTTTCTTTTTTCAAATTTCTCATCGATTTTTTTTTTTTTTTGAGTTTTTCTTATCATACTATTTTATTTCTCTCATTTTATAAATTAAAGAATTCTTAAATGTTTATATACCACCAATTTAAATTTCAATTCAACTTTGAATATTATTTCATTTAATGTAGAGTTTAACAACTAAAATTTATAGATCCTCCAGAAAATACTTTATTAATTAAACACAAAAAAACACAAAATTAATATTTAATTTAAAACTTTTTATAATTATTTAAAAAATGAATAGAAAGAATTAGTTCGAAATTGATATAGTACGTACAGATGACAGGGAATTCATTTACTAATCTATAAATAAAAATATTTAATTTTAAGATTTGGTTGAATGAGATTTAAAATTCTGCCAAGCAACTTGTGCTCAGATGGCACCCGGGTTGGACTCTCATATGGGAGGTTGCGAGTTCGGGTAGGTTGAGGAAGTAGTTCTGAACAGATACTACATTGAAATAGAGTCAGTAGCATCGTTAATAGGTGGACCCATTATGTTTCATGTTTGGACGGGTCAACCCATTAAACCTATTAAGAACTCGTTTAATATTATTATGTCAATTTATATCGTGGAATTGTGGACCATTGTCCAATACACATAATTTGATTTCACAATGTACAAAATTTATGTTCATAATACACATACACATAAACACGATATAATGAAGACATATAAACACTTAACATATTACACAGAATTCAAATTAATAATGTACAGAATTCATGTTCAAAATGCACAGAATTCATGTTCATTATATCATGTGCATGTGTATGTGTATTATACTATTATGAACAGAAATTATGTACATTATGAACATGAATTTTGTACATTATGAAGTCAAATTATGTGTATTGGATCAGGGTCCACAGTGCACTGTGGACCTGGTCCACAATATAGCGATTGTATTATTATGTTAAACCGTTTACACAAACTTGTTTATAACCCACCAAGAATTATTGTTATTTAGGTAATGCCATTTTTTCTTTATAAAATTTATAAATAGAATCATTGTTTTATTTTTCTTTATTTCATTATTAGTTATTTTTATTGACTTATAATGTTATATTTTGAAAATTTGTAGATTCAGGATAAATCGAATTAAATGAGATTACAAAAGATATAATGAATATGACTAAGGATGAAGTTATTACATCAAGACCCAACACCAATTATTGATGTTCAACATATGAAATTTAAATTTTTATTGTGTTCAATTTTATTCTAAAAACTATAACAGACTTCATTAATTATGATTTTTTTGGATGTTATTTTATCATTTTATGAATGTTATGAATTGAATTTTTTTTTTTTAGTTTTTTTTTTTTTTAGTTTTTTTTTTTTGGATTGAATTGTAGGTTTTATTCTTTTTTATTTTTTTTATTTTTTATATAGCTTAACTTCAAATTTTAGTTTTTTTTTTTTAATATATTAATAGGTTTAGAGGATTTAAATGAGTTTCGTGTCAATATGATCTAAAACCTGTTAACAAAACATGTTTACAAATCGAGTTCGTGTTAAGAATTTCAACTAGCTAACCTTAACGTGTCGTGTTCGTCTTTAGCCTTATCGTGTTTGTGTCGTTATCATGACCTGTTAATGAACCCTGTACACACGAATTTCTAGGTCTAATTTTAAGTTGTTGAAAGCCTAGCTAATTTTATTTAAACAGAAAAAAAAATCACATTGAAGAATTGGGCATAAACTTTGATTTACGGGAATAGTCCGTAGTAGTTACTACGTACCCAAAAGTGCGTTTTAGATGAAGTTCGCCTTGTGACCTTAGGTGTCGGTAAAGAACCATAATAAGGAGGTAAACCAGTCGATTTAGGTATAGATGATCGGTTTGATCAAACAAATTAAAGAAGGCCAATCGAACTTGAAAACTTGTGATTATCAAACCAATTGCTCGATCAACTTGGGCGAGATTAATTATATTGTGCTTAAACTTTAACTATATATGCTCCATGTTTTATGCGTATGTGTTGAATAATTAAATTGTAAAGAAGTGACCAAAACTTTAATTAGATCCTCAGGATCCATACTATATTCATTATGAACCAACTATTTCAATAAAATTTCAACATACAAACAAACAAATTTAGTACATAGTATTCCAATAACATAATAATAAGCTACTATATATTGCATGATCATATATATATATATATATATATATATATATATATATATATATATATATATATATATATATATATATATATATATATATATATATATATATATATATATATATATATATATATATATAATCTTAATAATTTAGTGAAATTTCTTAAGTAGATCATATGAGAGGACAGATTGATGGCCCTACTTATGAATCATGTGGTTGAAACTCGTTTCAGACATAATAGTACACAGTAAGCAATTCAATTAGACATGCACATATATGTTTTTAAAAGGAAATTAAATAATAAACAAAATCTCATCAACCATATAATTAATTCACATACAGGTAATTAAGGCGCCATTAATTTACCTAATATAAGACCAGAAATGAAATCTCAGGGAGTTTAATTAATAATTCAATAATGGATCTATATATGGAGTAGCATCATATATATCATACCTGTCCAGAATTGGATTAAGGAAGAACTGAACTGAACATGGAAAGAAATTAAGAAAAAAAAAAATTTAAGAAAAACATTATGTGAGTAACAACAACGAACGTAGGTACTAGGAGGAGGTAGTAGAGGAGGCAAGGTGGCGCATGACGTCAACTTGAAGTCGCAGGGCGAGTATGTAATCTAGGGTTTCTTTGATCAAAGTGTTATCATCTTCCATGCATTCTCCTCCCGGAATAAGTCCTTTCAGAACTGCGCTTCTCTTCTTCACCACTCTCGCCGCCGCTTTATACTTTGAAGCCGCACGCTTTCCGGCCATTGGACGACGACGACGAATGCGCTTCATCAAACATCTCCGGCGCCGGATTTTCTTCATCTCCCCGGCCCCAGATTTCACAGCCGCCATTACTGAGCGTCGCCAAATCGCTCGCGGCCACTGTCTGGTGCTGGTAGTGGTGGAGGCCATGGCTACGTTCGCTGATAGCTTTATGGCGTTCTTCCTCTCTGTTATGCTCATTTCACTCTTGCAGGCGTCGTACTTTTGGAGACCCTTTATCCATTTCTTCAGAAATTCTTCTTTCACTGAACTACTTACGGTCTGCATTTTACCTAAAATTAGCTATCTGATCTGCAATTCTGCATGCAATTCAATACCCACAAATAATTATATTAATTAAACTTCATAAATATATATGCTAATAATTAAGGGCGCCCGGGCCGGGATTAAATACCTTATGGGGTGTATGCATGTGTGGATTGGTGGAGAAAATAAAATTAGATTATTATCCCATTCCAAAGATCAGAGTGGGCGGGATGAGTGGTTTTGCAGCAGCCAGCCAATTGAAGATGGAATTGAAGCTTACAGATGGAATAATTAATAATTAGAAAGCTAAGGGGAATTGAAAGAAAAAAAAAAATACAAATAAAGGAAAGAGAGAAGGGAATGAATGTATGTAGTATGTGAAGTTGAAGAAGAAGAAGAATGTGTAAAAAGCCAATTTATTTGATTGGAGTGGGGCCGGAGAGGGTGGTGGGGCAATGGGAGAAAGACACAGCACATGCTGGCACATGGGACTTCATGCCCCGCACCATATATCCATCTAAAAACCCTAGCTACCTATCTAGCTAATAACCCTTAGCTTCCAAATTTTCGTACACACACACACACACACACACATATATATATATATATATATATATATATATATATAAATTATTAATTAAGACAGATTATATTAATTAAGAGCTGAGCTGACAGCTGAGGTCCCCTAGCTTAATTAGCTTAATGGTTTAATGTCAATCAAAAACCTAACATTTGTAATTTAGTATGACAACAACAACCGCTTTTAACATATTTCCATCTCACGCCTAATTATTTTCTTCACCGCGCTCTCATCTTTCTTAATAGTATATAATAATAAAATCTTTCTAACTTTAATTTTTGAGTGATTAGAGAAACCGCAATCACTATCTAAATGTATGCATGTATTGGATAAACTTTCGTTTTGTAACTCTAACAAACAAAGGAAATCATAGCCTTTTGAATTACAATCACTATCTCCATCTAAATGATTAGAGAAATCGCAATCACTATCTCCATTTTAATTTGTAGACCAAATGTCACGTAAGATAATATTAAGTGTAAACTAATAAATATGCACAATTACATTATAAAATGGATATTCTGAATTACAACAATAAACCAAAAATAACTCCAAAAAAAACCAAGAAATAAACAACTTTCAAATATTGATAGTCTAACTCATGCTTTCTTAGTCTAACTCAAATAATATTCTTACCTAGTTGGCTAGTTTCTTTGTGGGATATGTTAAAAACATAGATGTTTAAACTAATTTATTAGTTTAACAAACTAATCATTAGTAGAGTTGTCGTCCCGCTTTTTCCTAATTCAACCGATCCAATCAATATAGACTATATATGTGATATAATAAGTATGTATATATTGTAAAAGGGAAAATGACACTTTTTTCTCTCGAGTTATATGCTTATAACACTTTTCTTCCCGAGTTATTTATGCATTCACATTTGTCCCCTCAATTATTATAAAAGTGACGGTTTTTACCCCAATATATTAATGGACATTTCTACCCTTAAACTAAATATTTTATTTATTTCTATTCTTCAACAAATTATTGCTTATACGTAGGGATGACCACGGTTTGGTTCAAACTGAACGTAACACTATAGCAATCAAATCAAAATTTTTCGGTTCTGATTCAGAACCAGAACCAAATATTTAGATTTCTGTTTTTTAAAATCGCGAACTGGAAAAAATGGATCTGAACCGTGAACCAGAGGTTCAAATCGAAACTACTAGCATTAGCTTAAAATTATAATTATAATATTTGCAAATTGTGTATGTTTTTTTCGCATTTATACTGACTCTCACATATAAGTATATATAATGCGATTTGGTTTTTATTTTGAACCGTCGGTTCACGGTTTCGCATCCAATTTGAACTGTTGGTTCAAATTTCATTTTAAATTTTTCTTATTTTATTTTTAAAATATTCTAAATTCAACAATTAATATATTTTATTTTTCAATTCAGAACATGAACTGACAGTTTCGATTCGCGATTTTAATAAACTCTAAATATTGGGTGCCGGTTCTAAATTGTCATCGTAACCTTTCTGTTTGGTTGTTATAGTGTCTGTTCGGTTTGAACCTAATCATGGTTATAATTTGTTAAAGAAGAAAAATAAATGAAATATTTATTTTAAGGGTAAATATGTCAATTTAACATATCAGGGAAGAAAACTACCACTTAAATAGTTCAGAGGGATAACACAAGAGAAAAAATGTCATTTTTCCTGGTAAATATTATTATAACGAGTTTTATTTTTTCTAAAACTATATTCCACCGTACAAATATCAATGCTTTGGGGGGAAAACGTGTAGGAGGCAAGAGAAGCATTAGTATAACGTGAAGTCAACAATCACCTTTCTATTTGTCTGCTGGATTTCATGTTTTGTGGTTCCTTATCGTACGTCATTCTTGAAACCATGCATGTTCCACATTATACGCTATCTGATCTTTATTATTTCTTCCACCCTATAATTAAATCATCTAACTAACCTCACGAATTATGATTTTATCATAATATATAAATTAAATCTAGGGTCACATTTGTGTCGGAGTATCGAACCATCTCACGAATCCTTATCTATTCATTACTTATAAGGAAAAATATAATACTTTTGATGAAAAAAATAATATTTTTACATTAAAATGTAAAAGTATTACATTTTTCTTCAAAAGTAATACTTTTACACACACACACACATAAATATATATATATATATATATATATATATATATATATATATATATATATATATATATATATATATATATATATAAGTAATAAACATTTTATTCATGATTTAGTATTACATTTTCTAGTATAATTATTATATTTCATCTTGACCGACCCATCTTACGGATAAAGATCCATGAGACGGTACGTCTCACACAAATTTTTGCCTTACATCTATATTTTAATATAGTATCACAATGGCCAATGACCTTGTGGTTTAGTGGCTCTCCCAAATGAGAGGTCATGGGTTTGAGCCCCGGTAGGGGTGGTATTGACTCTTTGTGTTTCAGAAAGTTGAGAAAGTAGCTATGAACAGATACTATATTGTAACAGATCAGAGTCAGTTGTACTAAAAAAAAATATAGTATCACAATGCATTAAAATATTATAAATTCAAATTCTCTGTGTACAAAAAAAAAAGGGGTTAATAATTAAACTGGCTTAGCAAGCTTTATAGTTGATATGGCAGCATGCAAATTAAAGGCCCCCTACCCAATCTGCTTGAAGAAATTAAAATATAGTTGGTATGCAATAGTTGAACTTTGTTCCTTTATATAGAATGTATTTAGTTATGATATATTTATTAGGGAACAAAAGATTAAATAAACAAGGCAGAATTTACCCCGTCCACATCGTAGAGTAGTGATTGCGAGTTAAGTTTCTTTTGTTATAAAAAAAAGATTAAATAAAATGTGAATTTTTATTTATTTGGTGATGAGAGAAATTCACAATCACTATTTGAGGGTGTAAATAGGGTATATATCGTGCTTGTGTATATAGTATATTTGGGAGTGAATAGTGAGTATTAAAAAAAAGAGAGTGGAAAAAGGGAAAATTGGCATGATCCGGAAAACCTGGTGAAGATGAGATGAAATGGAAGGGAAATTGAAGTGGGACATAGAAGAATTGAATTGAAGAAGAAAAACTCTTTGGGGGGTTTTGGCTTTGGCAACAAATTAAAGTGGAAAAAAAGGAACCCTCACATGGTGTCCACATGGGTGTTTCTAAAGTGTGGTTTATAAGGGTTCCCCCAAAGTACAAAATCTTTCACCAATAATTACACATACATCTTGCTCATGCATGCCTAAATCCCCATTTATATATATGCCCTTCTTTTAGCTAACTTATATATATATATATATATATATATATATATATATATATATATATATATTAGCGCTCATATGCGACAGAGGTTTACGGTGCGGCGGGATTCTAGAAATACACCAACAGTGTTAACAACATGCACCAACAACGTAATAAAAACACACCATAGTGAAATGAAAAAAAACACACAAAAAATACACAACACACCCAAAAAAATACACCATATAATTCACCACCCCCAATGGTGTATTTCCGAACACTGTATAGTGCTTTTACTCACACCTTTTTGGTAATGCGAACCTAATTTGTGTGTATTTTTTGTGGTGTATTTTCTAACGTTGATGATATATATGTGCTGAACTATTGGTGACGCCGCACCGTAGTCCGTAAGCACCCGCCGCACCACAACCTTACTCTCTCTCTCTCTCTCTCTCTATATATATATATATATATATATATATATATATATATATATATATATATATGTATATATGTATGTATATATGTATATATGTATATATGTATATATATATATATATATATATATATATATATATATATATATATATATATATATATATATATATATATATATAGGGGTTATGGATCATGTGTGAAGAGGGTCTCCCGTGCGAAAATACGGATGAATTGATTAATGATTCTTTAAAAACAAATTCTCTACAGAACTGTAAACTTGAAGCAACAAAAATATGCACTTGAAGGCACACAAATGTGCATTTGAAGGCCAGAATTCTGCACTTAAGGCACAAAGATGGGAAATCGAAGCAATTATACTATCAAAAAAGGGAGTTATTCAATTTAAGTGTTATTGAAGCAATTATTCATACAAATCATTTGTAAATTACACAAATTTCATTAGGATTTTTTTTTGAAAGGAGCCTGTACGGCATTTATTCAAAATATGCAGAAATAGAAGCTGGTGGATCTGAGTCCGAGTACATAAAAGTCGAGTGAGTAAAAGCAGTAGATGCTAATGTATGAGCTAAATAATTATCTAACCTAGGAATATAATGAAGCAAACAATAATCAAAAGTCGATATACTAGTCCTGCAACTATCAATGGCATAACCCAAGTAAGACCGTGACGAGTGTGTCATAGATGATAGATATTGTTGAAGCACCAAACAATCCGTGTAGAGCTCGATAGACTTTATTTCGCGGTTTCTTAACCACGATAAAACATCCTTGCATGCGAAAGCTTCCGCCATTAGGGGTGAAAAACAATCTATCATTGGAGCAGTCATAGCCAAAACATAACCCCCTTGCCAATTTAGAATAATAGCCTCCACCGCTGCTTTGTTTGTTAGTGGGTCATATGCCGCATCGAAGTAACATTGATCCTCATGTTTTGAATAATATGGTGTGAGCTGCTTGGCGTGGACAGATGTGGCTGATGCAATACCGTGGTTGGCATGGCAGCAATAGCATTCCTTGGTAAGGACACTGCCGTAGCAGTGTGTTCGGTTGGTACCGCTGCTGTACGGCGGTCCGAAGCCGTGGGGTTGGTCGGCG